TGAATTTAAATTGTTTAATGCATTTTTTGAGAAAAATCCCCAACGAGAATTGTTATTGCGGAAAGGCGTATTTCCTTACTCATATTTTGCGTCAACATCGGTGTTGGATGAAATTTCGCTTCCACCGCAGAGCGCGTTTAATAATGTATTACAAGGAGAAGCAGTTTCCGACGAAGATTATGTACATGCCACACACGTGTTTCATTCGTTTGGATGTAACACTTTTGCCGATTACTTAGAGTTATATCAAAATACAGATGTTATTTTGCTAGCCGAAGTATTTTTATCCTTCAGACGCACCGCTCTAAAATATTACCAGTTGGATCCTGTACATTTTATAACGGCTGCCGAATTAACGTGGAATGCCGGACTGAAAGCGTCTAAAATTGAATTAGAGCTTCTAGGAGATGTGAATCAATACATTTGGTTTGAAAACCAAATGCGAGGAGGTATTTGTTTTCTGGGTAGACGTTATGCTCTTGCAAATAATCCTTATATCCCCGAGAGTTATAAACCCGATTTACCACACACCTATATCTTAGCCTTAGACGCAAATAATCTATACGGGTGTGTAATGAGCCAGCACCTGCCATTGGGAGGTTTTTACTGGTTAAAGGAAAATGAGGTGGAGGCGTTTGATATTTTGTCTTGTGTTGAAGACGGTGATGTGGGGTATATTATCGAATCCGATCTGTTATATCCCTCCCATCTGCATGACCAACACAATGATTTACCGCTAGCACCGGAACATTTTGAACTCACTTTTGACATGCTATCGCCTTATGCCAAAACCCTGAGCAAAAAATTTCAGTTAGAGACGACACTTCCATGCAAAAAATTATTACCCAATTTTTTTGAAAAAAAAAAAATTACATCGCTCATTATTTAAATCTAAAGTTTTACGTAGAACAGGGTTTAATAATTAAGAAAATTCATAGAATTTTAGCTTTCAAACAACGAGCGTGGCTTAAAGAATACATTGCTTTCAATAATATGAAAAGACAAAATGCGTCTAGCGAATTTGAAAAATCTTTCTTTAAAAAGATGAATAACGCTTTCTATGGAAAAACCTGTCAAAATGTTAGGAAACGTATTCGCGTACAGGGCGTTTTTAGTGAGGAACAATGCCAAAAAAAATTAAACAGTCCTCTGCTGGAATATTTTGAAATAATTAATGAAAATTTTTCAGTTTTCAAAATGAAAAATCCAAATTTGTGTCTAGATAAACCGATTTATATAGGTTTCAGCGTTTTAGAATTAGCGAAGTTGCACATGTATAAATTATTCTATTCCCATTTTAAACACTTTTACAAAGAAAAATGCGAGTTGTTATACACAGATACAGATTCTTTGTATCTCTATATAACAACTGAAGATGTATATAGTGATTTAAAAACGAATTTTTTAAATATTTTGGATTGCAGTAATTTCGAACCCAATCATATAATGTTTAATGAAGAGAACCGTGGAAAACTGGGATTTCTAAAAAGTGAGACACTCACCCCCATATCGGAATTTGTGGGTTTGAAATGCAAAATGTACGCATTTCGTTTCGGTGATACTGTTAAAAAGACCGCGAAAGGAATCAAAAGGAGCGCGCTCAAAAACATTGGATTTGAAACGTATAAAAACGTTTTCGAAAATGCTTCCCTGATTAGGAATTCTCAATATTCAATCATTTCAAAAAAGCACGAACTGCAAACGATTTTTCAAAATAAAGCTAGCCTCTCGGGATATTATGACAAAAAAATATTTGTTAGATGATGGAATTCAATCATTGTCTTATGGTCACTATAACACGCGTGAAGAAGACATGAATTAAAAAAAAATGATGGAACTTTTTTGTAACATTTTATTGTAGAGTGTGACATTGTATTTTTGCAACTTATATTTTTTTATGCTAATGATCGACAAAAAACAAAAATGTGTTTCCCTCCCATAGAATACCCAGAAGATATGGCTTTATTTCAACCAATTTCTTTGCAAGATATGTGTATTCAAACTATTTTATCTTCGATATTATGTATAGCTGAACTGTATAATGTAGAACTGAATATTCCTCGTATGATTTTAAGAGATATAATAGAGAAAGGTCGATTCTGGATTGATTTTGAAAGTAGTTTCTCCTTAGAGAACAGAGATGTATTTTGGGATGAAAGTTTAACTCTCTATGAAAGAATTCGATTTAATAAGTGGTTTTCTAAACAATTTATTGCCTGGTTTTTCTTTGATGATGATGTTATATTTCTTTTACACCTAAAGATTGCACATATCACATTTGTAAAACATGTAATTGTTCAAAATAATGAGTCTAATATTTATTTGAAAAGCTGCAACAAATGTTTAGAATTGTGGTTACGATGTCAAACAGACACTACCAGAACGAAATGTAAAATTTTCAGAAAATTCAATCATTTCTTATGTTATAATGAAAGGGATACCCTTTCTTATATGCGAAATGAAGATAACTGGTGTGAGATATGTAAGCAAAGTCCTCTGTATTTCATTTGCGACGAGAATTCATGTTGCATTTCTTTTGGAAACTTGATACACGAATGTCCCCGAATTAACCATGATCACTGTTATAATAATTGCTATGGAGGTTATGTAGAAAACTTTTCTTTTAACTGTCGAATATGAACAAAAATACTGATACATTATGGCAATATTCTGATTAATCATTTTTATTTTATAAACACCCTGAAATTTTTGTTGATATGTAATGATTCCATTTATGTTTGTAACAATGTGAAATGTACTTTTTGTTTTATTTGATTACTTATTGTATTATCAATATAACATCTCACATGGTGTAATGAAGATAATGGGTTAGTTTCTATATAAATTTACAACGAAAAATCGTTTTGATTTCTTTAAATGTTCATTTTAATTTCTGATACTTATATGCGAAATGAAGATAATTGGTGTGAGATATGTAAGCAAAGTTCTCTGTATTTCATTTGCGACAGGAATTTATGTTGCATTTCTTTTGTAAACTTGATACACGAATGTCTCGCGAATTAACCATGATGACTGTTATAATAATTGTTATGGAGGTTATGTAGAAAACTTTTCTTTTAACTGTCGAATATGAATAAAAATACTGACACATTAAGGCAATATTCTGATTTATCATTTTTATTTTATAAACACCCCCTCCATGTATGTTTCGACGAAAAAGGGGGGGAGGGAAAGAAATTTTTGTTGATATTTAATGATTCCATTTATGTTTGTAATAATGTGAAATGTACTTTTTGTTTCATTTGATTACTTATTGTATTATCAATATAACATCTCACATGGTATAATGAAAATAATGGGTTAGTTCCCATATTGGATTTACATCGAAAAATCGTTTTGATTTTTTTTTAAATGTTCATTTTAATTTTTGATACCTTTATATATTTTACAACAGTAATATGTTTTTTGTTTCATTTGATTTTTTCATTGTATCATGCATACAAGAATGATTATTTTGTATTAAGCTTCTGTAATCCTTTAGAAAAAAAATAAAAAAATGGACCTTATCCAAGAGGTCCGGTTTTAGTATCTTCTTGGAGGAATTTACATTTTATTAATTTCTTCAAGGCAGATGCTTTTACCGGAAAACAAAACAGTGGAATAGAAAAAGGCAGCTCATAAATAAGTGTAAAAATGTATTATTTATCTATATATCTGATATTTTTTTTTCAGAGACAAAAAAAAATTGCATTTGAAAGAAAAAAAATCCTTTTTATTGATCAAATTGTTTGTGTTACACACAAGTGCGATGTAATTCTCGCACAATAGCATCATCATTCAGAATAACAAAGTAAGCAATTTTAATTACATAGCTTTCATCTCTTATACATTCACTTTCATATTCAGTTTTTTTTCGAAGAAACACAATCCAACATGCTATTATATAATTTACTACATGCCGAAAAAAGAGCTATTTGTTCATTTTGAATGTATAAGTAGCAATATCCATATTGTTGTTGTGGTTGATGGTCAGCTTTATGAATATGCTTGACCACTTCGGCATTCTTCAAAATTTTCAGGTAATGACGATTTCCTTTCCCGCTAGTGTTTTCATCGTAAAGAGCATTACGAATGCAGTCGCTTAGGTTTTTAAAGAAAAAATGATTAATTTTTTCAACGTGTACTTCTTCAACAGGACTGTTTTCGGAGTTTCCAGTGTGCAAATAGCCGTAACGTTCCATCGTCGACTTCTGAAGCGTTAGTGATGTTTTGCAGGAATAACACGCATATTTATCAAAGACACACAATTTTGTTTCTTGGCATGAAAAGCATGACAACAGCGGCGACGTTTGAATTTTTTTTTAAAAAATTCCCTAATAAAAATTTCATTTTTTTTCTTATCTTTCGTGCAGAGGTCCTTCAAAGAGTACCCTCTTACCATACAAAATAAAAAATAAAGAGCAAATTTTCCGCAGGATGTACTGGTATCATCTTGAAAGCATATTTTATTATAAAATGTTTTGTTAGCGTTGGTCATTAAAAAGTTTAAAATATTTTTGTTAGATGGAGCAAGACCATAACTGTCGAAGTAATATGCCGTGCTGTTTTTCTTAAAATATATCGAAATCCAGTGGCTCCCAGGTAAAGTATGCGGATCCGAATTCACTATAAATGAGGAGTAATGTCTCTTTCGTAAGGGTATGAAATCGGAAGGATATACACCTCCAAATGTTTTTTTGATTCGACTGTCGCCACAGGCATATTGACACAGAGTTAAAGTATCCATTACCGCCTTTGTTCGAAATGAATATTTCTGTATATGCTTTTAAACACTTCTTCGTACACTTGATGTTTCTTTGATGGGAAAATTTCAATAATTTTTTCGGCAAAAGCGAGAAAGAATGCAATGCGCAGGTTCGCTATTTTATTGGAAAACATCATATCGCCTATACTTCGAATTACCTCCTCGCCTGCACCCGCCTCCTTAGCTAGTTCGATAATTTCATTTCCGTATATTTGCAAAACTTCGTCCATGATTTTTAATAATCTGTCGTGACTCCGCGTGACTTGTCTATTTCAATTATGTTCCTGTATTCAGCATAGACTATCAGGGTAACTGTTTCTGGCAAGGCCGCTGCAAATTTGATATCAATGGCTATGTTTCCGCTCTTATTTATGCTTACGTGGCTTTCATTAGATGCCATATCTGGAGTCAAATCAACGGCATATAATGTATACCCATCTTTGTATTCATCAAAGGAGATATTAATGTTGGGGCTTGAATGATATCGATTTAAATCTGTAAAGATGCTTAAATAACTTCGCCCATAAAATGTTTTTTCGAAATTGGGCTGATAGGGTTTGGAAGGTATCATCTGTCCCCCATTTAATATGCATAGGTAGTTTAGGTTATAGTGATGAAATTTAAAAGGATTTCTGTTGATGCTTCCATTATAGGCGGCATTAGATACAAAACCTAGAATGAGACGTGTGGGTAGCTGACCAATAAAAGCGTTTGCTATAGTTGTCGATTGCAAACCGCTCGATATTGCAAAACTTTTTATGTCAATCCTACGAATGGGCATCTTAATAACTCCTTTTTCTAAAGCCTTTTCGTGTGCTATTAGGATGGAGGGAGCCACGCTGACTTTTCTCACGTATAGTTTTGCTAGCTGAATTCTAATTTTATAATTGTCGTTTGCCGACATCAAAGTGAAAACATCTTTATGCCTTTCCAGTTTAATGCGTACATTAACCCCGTTGACTAACAATTTCGGTTGAGTGGCCAAATCGAAGTGCAATGGTCCCACGAGGTCGAGGCTTTGGCTAAGCTTGCAACGATTTGCACGCGTTGTATAACCTTCGTTTTCGTCTCTCCCACAACATCATGCTTAGATGCAGTATCTTTTGCAAATAAGCCAGCACTCAGTAGATTATCTTGACCTGATTTGGAATAGAACAACAAACTTTCCAAAAGGGCTCTATAAGAATAATTCACTTGTGACGAAACCTGTTTATCATTTAAAAATATTGAACAGTCGGAAAACAATGTGTTTAAAATATAATTAACAGGTGCCACCCCGTCGGCGTCGGTGAGATTGGTATCGTTTTTTTTTCGTTTTTTTCGTTATTTTAAGTCGTGTGTGTAGTATCGTATGCGCCAAATCCAAATAGTGTTCACCATTACCGCTAATGTAAAATTCTATGGGCGTCTTATCAGACAATGAAGATACGGGGTGGATTTCCACGAAGGAAGAGGAATCGATGCCCAGTTGTACGGCGACACCATTAAAGAGATCCAATTCGCTCTTAAGGCATATAACCCCCTGAGTTTCCATTACTATTAATCTTTATGTAAAAATATCTGCTTTTGTCTTACAACGCTTGCTCTTTGATTGACGATTTTTCCTCTTGCGCTTTCTTTTTATACCTTCTCCCCTCTGTAATTTTTCAAAAATATCACTTTTTATTTTATTAGAGGTCTCACGTAACCTGCTCCGAGCAGAGTCCTTAAATGACGATCCCGCTGCAACATCTGACAAGACGTTCTTTCCTGTTTGCATCAACTGTTTGCCCAAATAACGACCAGCTCTAAGTGCCAACGGCGTAATGTATCGACGCAAATCTCCAAAAAAAACATAACCTCGTTGGTGAGGTATACCTTGAAAGTAAACACCACCGCCACCACCAACTTGAGCACAATAATAGGATTCGCACTCTTTCTGATTTAAGTGCATTTCTCTAAGGATGTTTTAAGAAAGTGAGAGGAAAGCTTGAACAATCTTCAATTTATATAGTTTTCTTACGGCGAAAAGACAGGACTACAAATGTTTTTCCTCCCGTAAAGGCAATTTTTTTTCCGCTACTCGTTCTCAGTTCTATTTCTATCGTTTCCACATAGTGCTTTCGCAAAGGAAAATATATAGTTTTTTTCATAATGCTTCACAATTTGATCATTTTTTTCATTCACGCAGGGAATAACCCTTAGCAGCGGAACATGCACATCTCCAACGTGATGTGATTCGATTAAATCGCTGTACACAAAAATTTCTGTAATGCCCCCGTCCAGTTCTAAAGGATAGTCGCTTATATATTTTCCGCTCTTGAAATGGGTGTTAACGAATCCCAGCATGTCTGACAGCCCTTTCCCAAATGCCAGCTCCGATTCTGGAGGAACTTCTAAAAACACTTTTGAATTCGCTAATTGTCTTAAATGTACGTGTTGAAATTCGCGAAATAAAGTTTCCGGTGATTTATATACGCCTGCGCTGACATGCAAATGTAAAGTTTCTTTTTCAGTCATAGTTTACTTCGGGATATCCTTTAATTATAAGTTCCACAGCTTCCCCCTCCTCCACAGTTAGGGGCAAAAGCACAGGAAACTTTCGCGTTTGCGAAATTATAAGGTTTTCGCGGACGCCGAGTATCCTTAAAAGGGAGGATGCTCTTTCTTGAGTAATATGCAGCTCCGTGTTTTCTGACACCTTTATTTCTAGTTGGGACTTCGTCTGATCGTAGGTGAAAGTGACAAAATTTTCCAATTTAAGATCTTGGATATTTTTTGCTACGTCGCCAAAGAGACCCCTAGATACATCTGCTTTTATTAAGGTTAACGGAATCAAATGCAGTTTCGTGCTAGAAGGGCTCCTATTTATGATTGAAAATAACTGATCTTTATTTTCAGCTATTGATCTGAATCTCATCACTTGAGATTTTTTAATAATAGTATCTTCATCTGGTAAGTAAAACATCTGTAACATTTTAGGAGCTTTTCTTTTAGAAATGTGTACTTCGAAACCATTTGCAAGAACCCAGCGAATACTCCTCCCTTCATGTTCTAGAACGAATTTCACAGCGTCCTCTCTACCGAGAATGGTACTAATTTTATCATTCAGTTTTGATAAAAATTCCTCTAGAGAAACATCTGCGTTTACCGAAACTAAAACGCCATAATTAAATGATAAAGTATGGCGTGAAAATTTAATAGGAATGCTTTTCTCCACATTCCTAGTTATTACATAGTCATTATTATACTCTCCCACATTATACCAATTTCGTGGAATAAAAATTTCAGTTAGACCTACTTCCCAAGAATCGTTCAATAACAGAGGAGAGGCGAGTTTTGTTCGATAAGATGATTGATTGTTTTGAGGGAAATACTGCATGCTCGCATTGCTGGGTAGAGTAACGTAGAATTCGTCTGTCATTTCATCCATGACGCTTTCACCCACGAATTAAACCGTCGATCAAAGCCTTTCCACTTGACGAAATATTCTTTCTTAGCACCGACACCTCTCGTTTGCAGAATTTTTTCCACTCTCCAGAAATCGTGAGAACTCTTTAATACTTTTTGTAACTCTTGTTCGTAAAACCTTCCTTTCAGAACTGTTCCTTTTAAATCTTTAAGCAGATATGTCGGAGGACTCGAAGGATATCTCTTATATATGACAAAAACCTCATCCGTCCAACTGGGCAAATAACCTTTGCGAAATGCTCGCCTTGTTTTAGAAATCCTCACCTGGTCATTTACCTCAAATTTGTATCTCGGTTTTATGCTATAGCCATACAGTTTTTCAAAAATTTCACTTTCTAGTTCCGGCTTCACGTCGGCAGGTGCATAACCAGTACTACGATGAATACTCAAATTATAGCTTTTCAAAACTGATTTCAAGACATGCACATACCTGTAGGAATTGGTGTAAGTAAATATTCGATAGAGTTTAGATTTTAGCGTTCGATTAAATCGCTCTACAACACTCGCCTTGTATTCGCTGTTAGAGGCATAATGATGTATTCCATGTCTTCTAAAATAGTCACGAACTTTTTTATTAAAAAATTCTTTTCCCTCATCTGTTTGTAAATTCACCACAAAATTTGTCTCCTTAAATAGCTTCTTAAATCCTTCGAGTACAGAATCTGCACTCTTCGATTTTAAAGGAATGGCATACCCGCGTTTAGAAAACACATCAATTGCTGTTAATAAATATTTTTACACCATCGTTATATTTAGAGAGCTTAGACAAATCAATCAAATCGCATTGCATTAATTCTCCAATGCCGAAAGACAACACCTTCCGTCGTTTGAAATTAAAGCGAACTGGTTTATGTAACGTATAAGCATCCTGTTTCATTAACCATCGACGCGTCGTTTTCAACGGAAGTTGTGCGGCACGAGCCAATCTTACCACTCCGCCATACGAAGCGGGGTTTTCTACATCGTAATAGATATTTTCTAAAATTGCGTCGGCATCGTTTAAAGCTCCTCCCATTCCTCTTTATAAGGTGCTTGACTTTGGGATCTCCCTCTTCTTTCCTGCTGTACTTTATATCTCTGCTGTTTTCTTTTTGTTTGATGATCGAAGTCTTTCACATTTGATGGGGGCCATCGAAAGACATTTTCCTCGCCGCTCGAGGATTTATTTTTTCCGTGAGGGGGTAGTGCGATGAGGTATCTCTCATGCGAGACAACACATTCTGATTCCCTATCCATGAGCGCGGTATATTAATTTCTTCGATAGCCTTTAGAAATACATCGAAATGCCTTGGCTCTTGAGCATTTTTTTTATATTTCTCATTAGGTAATTAAAGAAATCCACCATACTGGATCCCTGAATCGTTTTACCGTCAAGAATCATTTCTCCGCGATCGTTCCATGAATAAAGCCTCGATTTTAATTTTTCGGCGACCAGAGGCACCAATCTAGAAAATTTCTGGGGTGTTGATAGAATAATATCCCTAATAACAGGATCTTCCACTTGCTGGAATCCCTTCTCTTCTTTAGTTTCTTTCGCTTCATTCGCAAGGCTCACACGTATAGGTTCTGGTGGTGCGTGCACTGTTCTGTGATACCGCGTGATTAGTTGCCCCAACAACTTTGCTTTCATGTCGTCGGGTAATTTTGCTCTTTCTAATAACGTGTCTATGTCATCTTCCAATCTCAATTCTGGCTTCTGAAGATGATAAGACGATACCAATTCTTCGGGTATGAGAGCCACTCTTTTGGCCATTGTAGCCCAAAATTGGGATTAAGAATTTTTTTTACAGTCGTTTGCTAATAACTGGTCCTAAAATACCACCCAAGGCAGATATTATTGCCGGAGCAATCAATGGTAAAAAGCCTCCCGATTGGTTGACTAAATTTTTTTTTTTTCTTTTGTATGCTTTGCTTTCGTGTTTTTTAGATAGCAACCTTAAGAGATTCTTATATTTTTTTTCAGCTTACGTACATTAACGGGGATATTTCCATTCAAAATATTTAAACAAACTTCGCAGAGAGATAAAATTTGATCCTTATTTGCAGTCTGTAACAAAGCACGTTTCTGCGATGGGTGGGAATGAGCTAATATTCGCAAGAAATGATACTGCTTTTTCAAATTCTTCTTCGTCATTTCGGACGAAATAACCACAGTATTCCGTCTTTATCTGGAAACAGATTTTCGCGCATCCGATACTCCTCCGATGTTTGAGGGTGTAAGTCAATAACTAAATAACCAAAGGGTTTCGTTGTTGCTTTTATATAAGCATCCGTCAAAAAATGCCAGTTCTGAGGATATAACTGTCGTCCTAAGCAACTAACTTGGGAGACATCTCTTGCATTTTTAAACAAAATGATATAATGCGCATTAAGACTAATGTCGCGCATAACCTTTAAACGAGGGAATAAGTTTTGTAATATCACTATAACGCTGACTTCACAATGGTGTGAGGCGGCAGTAAAAAGATCGGCAATTTTCTCATTTAGTCGATGCATCAGGTCATCGACCACTATCAAATCCCCTTTTTCGTATCTATCCGGAAGACCTTGAATGAATTCAATGTCTGGTTCTTCCCAAAACCAAGGTGCGGAATACGAATAACACCATTTTACTTTTCTGATAGGGGCTTCATATATTCGATTTCGTATCATTTCGCGTACCAACGAAGTTTTACCTGATTGACTCGGGCCAATAACCAAACAGGAACTTGGATGTTTGAATTTTAACATCGCTGATAAATTCCTTTTTTTTTTTTTTTCTTTAACAAAAATATATTTACATTCATCCAACCGTTTCCGATATCCGAGGACTCAAATGTCTATACATTTTGTCTGCAAAAACTGCATAGTTTCATAAATTCCCCCCTCATCATTTGTACGCCAATTATATCGGCTTTCAACATATCGATATCTTTCCAAAAATAACGTATATCATAAACTGTTTTATTCTCTTTTACACATACATGCAAAAACAATTTTCGACCAATATAAACCGATTCCTTACAAGTAGAATTTCTTAAATCCACTTTCCCTTCACCCCATTCACAATTCCTCATTAATTCTCCGAAAAATATTCCTACGACGACTATTGTTATTGCCAAAAATAAAACGAAATTTATAATAAAAATACTCCATTTTGTTGCACTCATCTTGCATCTACTACTCTTAATTCTCACTTTCAACTCCCTTTTTATACTAAATATTTCCAAAAAGAAAAAAAAAAAAAAAAAAAAAAAAGAAAAGAAAACGAAAATGCACAAGCGAACTCAAGACAACGAACCCAATGAATGACCTGACGTTTTATGGGTTACTGCTGGTCGTCTCCGACCCCCCGCCGTCCAAAGAAGGTTAAAAAAACTACCAAAAAGAAAAGAAGAAGATACTACTTTTAAGAAAATCGAAGGCGTTTTATGAATGGTGTACGAGGGGGACAAGCATTCACAACGTCGCTGCTGTCCTTCACTTACACCATCCAAAAAAACGTTAAAAATACTACAAAAAAGCACTCACAGCTGGTGGCTATCAAACAAAAGAAACCTACCGAACGACAACAAACATGTTCCAAAAGTCAACAACCGAGAGGTCAGTCTCTAACTAAAGCAATCCCATTTTAGAAAAACATGGTATATGACAAACAGTCTCGCCTACATTACCGCCTACTACTACATCCAAGTACTTTTGAAGGACGACGGCACTTCCGGGGTGCAGGGATACTCAAATCCTAAACTCGTCCAAATTTAAATTTATTAAATTCAAATTTTTGAACAAACTACAAAATCACTAAAATTTCACAGGACTAGTTTCAATGGTTTTACTGAATCAGCGTCAGCTGTTTTAGAGCTTAGACAAAGAGTGTTCCTGGCACTCAAGTAGCCTTATTAGAATTCTTCCAGCTCTAGTTAAATGCAATTATCTCGGCTTTGCTTTCTCTTCCAGCCGACATTTTTAATTTAAGAGCCGGTAAATTATTTGAGCCAACTTGTAGAATAGTTATTTAACTATATAGTCTTAGACTACTGTTCAAGATTTAAATTTTTAAATTTATTTAACTGTTATTATCTAATTCGCATCGCCACAATTGCTGGTTATCTGTAGCACGAGCCATGGCTTGATTTGATAAAAGTTAAATTTAAAAAAAGGTTGATTATGCCTTTGTAAATTTCTGTCGTTCTAGTTTCAGACATAACTATATAACTCACTACCTATCAGTAAGGTTTCAGAACTGAAGTTCCAGTATCAGGCAAAGCAAATAAGCCTTATAATCTTGTGCATATATTGCTATATTTCTTTATTAATATTAAGAAAAATGATGTGCATTTGGAACATTTGAGGCAATTATATATTACAGATAATATTTCTCAATGCTATAAACACCTTAATTGAGCGCATGATTTTTTTTTAAAACCGTTGATTAGAATTACGAGAAATTTTTACCAGTGAGGATAACATGACCTACTATTATGCTTCTCGCTTAAAACGGGTAGAAAATGCCTCTAGTTTTTATCTTAACGAATAGTGAATTTTAAGTTTTCAAAAATGAAAAAAAATCAGGAAAGCATATTTCGATTATGCGTAAAGTAAGTCAAATTAATTATGTATTAATTTTTAAATTTGAAAAAAAAAAAACAGCTATCAGTAGTAATTTGTTTGTCTGTAATTTATTAGGAGTACATGTTAGAACTTTATGCTGTTCATTAGATATTTTGTTTCATGTTTAAAGTATATAAATATCGGGAACAAAATATAAAATTTCAAATGAAATATCGAGGGTAGCGATTGATGGATAACATTTCATGATCATTAGCTTGTTCGTTATAAAGATATTGAGCTTTAAAATGTGTTATAATTTCGTCATATTGTGATATTTTAAAGGTATATGACTGCTTAACGTGCGTTAGAAACAGGTCTCATTCTATGCTTACCAACGGTCCGATGTATCTATCTATAAGAGACCGTCCATGAATTAAAGTCAGTTGAAGTATATGGTACATTCTGCGTTCTTCCAGCATCCCTTCGTAGCGTAAGGGTAGCACACTCGGCGCGTAATCGAGAGGTTCAGGTTCGAATCTTGGCAAGTGCATTGCACATTTTTCATGTCTTCGGCTTCAAAACACCTAATGACTCTACAGAAGTATTATCGATCCATCGATGAGATATATCGAGCCATCGACGGATAAGATATATCCATCTATTGATGAATTAAAGTCAGATATATATTTATTACTGGCATCAAATTATTACTGGCAAAATCTTCTATGTTACTCTTAAGTCATAGATACAGAAAGGAAACAAGGATTTAATGAAAAACTATTTCACAAACATTATTTTATTTTACGTTTTAAAAACTATAAGAAAATTCATAACCCAAAAACCTTTCTCGAGAGAAATCCACTGGAAAACAGTCGCTATAATTTCAAATAACCAATTTTAGTATGGTGTGGATGAAACATGTCAAAATTTAGGAGGTATTAAGTTATAAAATAAAATTCATGAGAAATGAGATACTGTCTACAGGTGCGCAGTAATGCTTGAGTTAAATCTCAGCGAGAGCGGAGATTTTACAACTATTTATTCAAGCACATATTAAAACAGAGATACATTTTTGTATACTCACATTATCTTCCAACATACAGGGGTCGGACAAAAATATGGAAACACCTTTAAAAAAACATGTTTCTTTGCTTAATATTGTGTAGGAAACCCGTTGGCATCCAAAACAGCTTGCAGTCTTCTTGGAATGGATAAATACAGTTCCTGTATGTTTGCCAAGGGAATATTATACCATTCTTCCTGCAAAACGGTGACAAGTTCAGATAACGATGTTGGCGGTGGATAACGAGAACGCACTTTCCGTTCCAATGTAGACCACAAAGGTTCGATAATATTCAGGTCTGGTGACTGTGGTGGCCAGGGGAGATGGGACAACTCATCCTCGTGCTCAGAAAACCAGTCCTGGACAATGTGAGCTGTGTGAACAGGGGCTTTGTCGTCTTGGAAGACACCATCACCATCGGGGAACAAAGTTTGTACCATGGGATGAACTTGATCGGCCAAAATGTTCACATAAGTCTCGGCAGTCATGTGCCCTGACACAGTTATCATGGGGCTAGCAGAGAACCACGATATGGCTGCCCAAACCATAACAGAACCCCCACCATGTTTCACTCTTGGCAACAAGCAGTCTGTATTATAGGCTTGAGATGGCGTTCTCCGGACGTAAACTCGGCCAGAAGTTGGAAGCAATGTGAAAGAAGACTCGTCAGACCATATTACTCGGTTCCACTGCTCTATAGTCCAGGCTTTATGACTTAAACACCACCTTTTCCTGTTACAGGCATTAGCATTACTGATGAGTGGCTTCTCAATTGCAGCACGGCCAGCAATTCCCTGTTTATGAAGCTCCCTTCTAATTGTTTTGGTACTCACGAGGGTTCGGTAACACAACATTCATTTCAGCAGTAACTTTTACAGCTGTGGTCTTCTTATTTTTCGTCACAATTGCCCTTAATGATCGTCTGTCACGATCACTCAGGACACACTTTCGTCCGCGCTGTGATTTAGCAGATGATGTTTTTCCGCTTTTCAAATATGCGGAATAAATCTTCGATACAGAAGCTCTTGAAACACTAAACACCTCGGTACCTTGCTTACGGAAGCACCAACCATACGTGCTCCAACAATTTGCCCACGTTCGAAGTCTGTTAACTCTGACATAATGCAATGACAACCTCACATAACACTACTCCGACAACA